ACACTGTGTAATGCTAAGCTAATCCAACGGCGCGCTTGTGTGTGTCGTATGACGTTATTTGACACCTTATCCCCAGTAATATAGTCCTGGCCCGCGAAGAAGACGTCGTTACCATTTTCTCGTACTTGTCTGGGATGTATGGATGGATAGTTGACGGAATATCATCGCTGTTTGAGCCCATTTCAGGGCAGAAACACGCAGAGTGGCCCGAGGAGGGGAACAGTAGCGCCGAGGTTTCCACGCGTACTGGCGTCAAAGGAGCCAACCTACAAAGTCAGAGCAGAGCGGCTAAACGGAACTATCAGAGGTCGGCTATCGGGGAAAATGACAAATATCTGTATTACAAATATCATAATATAAATTCTAATAACATTATACACTCGTATGATCCTGTAATCTTTCACGTAGTGAACGTCTAAATTATATTTTGAGGTGAATACTGAGGCGAGGTCGCGAAGGGAGAATTGGAGAAAATAGTAATTTAAAACTTAAATTGTTTTGTAATATAGAGTCAAAGTCGGATACATCGTTTTTATTTCTGTATCAAACGTTGTTAATGTTAATTTATCTTTTCCCCACAGTTTGTTTATGTTGTTTAAAGATTAAAAGTTAAAGTTTGATTGAAGCGACACTATTATGAGTTTACACTCGTGACCTCTTAATAATTGGTCACACTTTTCATATGTTGACAACACAGGCTGACTGTTGTTAAAATTGTAATAGACAGTGGCACTGTTAAAAGACAACTCATTTAATCTCAGGCACAGCTGGGTTTATATAGTTTGGTGATTGCATCAGAGCAGGGGTCACCAGAGAGCTACTTCAACGGCACTTAGTAATACAGAGAGCTACTTGTTTAATACATACTTCACAAACACTGTAAGGATAATTTGTTCTGGGACATACAATAGTAGACTTTCCTCTTACCATCGTCATTGCACCCATTTGAATATCATTGCAGGTGTAACTGATCCAAAAAGCACAGTAACAGTAAGTTTTTTGACCTTCTTGTTGACTAGTTTTATTTTAAGAACATAGGCTGTGGGCACCTTAGGTAGTCCACAGCCCAGGGGGCTACCAGGTGCCCCTGGGCTCCACGTTGGTGACCCCTGTGTTCGATGCAGCTCAGGTCAGATGGTGTGGACATAAAGGACATACTGAAGGATAAGAGAAACACCATACACAACATTCATAGACTTGAAGGGGGACAAGAAGATGGTTGGTGTAACTGAAAAGGAGACGAAGGACAGGGTGATATGGGGTCCGACGACCCTTGGTGACCTAAGAAGGGAGCAGCCAAAAACAGAAAGAGGAAAAAATGTGCTCCTCAGGCTTGTTGTTGTCATATTTGGCCCTCAAATTGCCCACACTAGTTTGGTCTAACAGTCTTTTGTTGTGTAACAGTTAAGAGAAATTCATTTTTTATTCACAATCGGTCAAATATTTTTTAATTTATTAAGGGGCTAAGATAGTAAATACCCCAAAACTGCTTCTTAAACAAAAATGTATTTATATATTTATTGCTGTTAAAAAAACAATATTGTAACTAATATCAATTATTGTTCTTTATTACAGTGTTGATGTTGCAGACGGTGTTAGTGACCCTGTAGAGGTAAAAAGACGCAGACGAGGTTTGTTTTCTAAATTAAGAGACATTTATGTCAAATGTGTTGCAAAGGTGATCAAACATGAATGATGTTATTAAATTGTGGTGTTTTGTGTTTCAGATGTAGTCGTCAGTTTTGTCAAAAAGACTGTTTCCGGGATAGCGGGTCTGCTCAGGTTACACAAACCTCTGACCCACACATTGGAAAATCCCCAGCACTATGAAGAGGTACAGGGTTGTGTTTATACAACATGTCATTGGTGGCGTGAACTAACCGTGAAACATAACTGAACCAGGGTTGTTTGAAGTGTAACCCATATTTGATAACCATTTATTTTCTTTATGTATTCAGCCAGTCACTCTCGTGGGAATAGATGAACTCCATAGCTCGTGGCTGATCAGTGCTGAGTGGAGAATGGGTAAGTCTCCTGACTCCATAAAATAATCATCTGTTACTCCGTCTCTGTTGTTGACATTTCTGCACTGAACAACCCATGACTTTCTTTTTATTTACCAGATAAACCACTAGGTGGGCTGAATGAGAGAGGGGTCAAAAATCCCTTTCTGAGATCATCGCCTCCTTTAATGAGGAAATACAGGCAAGTGGTCAAGACATTTATTTATTCCTAGAACAGCCTTTTTAGGGTAATTTCTAAGATTGTCCTTTTTCATAAAATCCCCTTTTTTGCTCCTGTTTATTAATCCAGTGGAACATCGCTCCCTGCTGGTCTCCCTGACAGGGGGAAGGACAGGGAGCGGAGAGGCTCCCTTCAGCTCCTGTCTTCACGCTCCACTCAGAAGACAGGAGCTGCTAATCCTGAATCAACCTGCAATGGCTTCGTGCACAGCCGCAGCTACAAACCCAGTCTTACTGTGGAAGAGGTCAGTTTGAGTTCATGGGTGTGTTTTTTTTTTGTTTGTTTGTTTTTAACAGCCAACAAAGATGGAAAGTTAGCTTTTAACTGTATTGTAGCTTTGTCCCAATTTAGTCAATGGATTTTACTTTAGTTTAAAATTATATAATTGGGCTTTAATGGCATTCTGATAAGAAACTTTTTTGTATTAAACAATTAGTTAAATTATGTTTTTTTTTAACATTTATTATTATTATTATAATATATATATAATTTATTATATATATTTTATTATTATTATATTTATAATTAGTCTGTGCATCACAAGTAGTCTGTCTGATTGGTCATGCATGTGCAAAAATATGTACAGGTTGAGGCAGAAACGGTTCCACACTGATAGGGGGCAGTGACATGAGGTGAACATGTTAATGGGTTTAAAAAATTGCATTCTGAAAAGTAACAAAATCTGCCCAACAGGTTGCTATATTTTAAATGTTTCAAATGAAAATAAATAGAAACAGTGTTGGAATAACTTTTGTATAACGTTACGTACGAGGGGCGTTCAGGTATCATTGTAAATTTTAGAATCTAACACTAAAGACACTTAAGGTCAAAACTGAAATATAAGCTTCTATTTTGGGTTTTAAATAAGTATATATTCAGTACCTCACCAGGCATGAGCTTCACCGCATGTCACTGTGTCTGGGATACTAATGAGTTTGTCTTGGTCTCCTAGACCATAAAGCAGAACAACAAGGAACACTACAGACGCCTCCTGGAGATGGTGTCAGAAAAATACAGCAAGAGTCAACCGCTGCCGTTCAGCCAAACAAAACCACAAGAGTGAGCTGTTTTAGATTGTTTAAGAAAATTCACTCAAATAATCTCAGATATTCACTGACTGGAACATGCTAATCTTTTTTTGTTTTACTCTTATCAGTGACTCACTGTCCCAGACTGATCACAAAGCCGCTGCTGTTGGGAAAACCTTTGAGGCAGTGCCCAGGAAAATGGTCTACACTGGTAAGACTTCTTTTATTAATCAATGGTATAAAATAAATAAATGATACAACAATGATACAATTGAAAAATCAAACCACTGCAATTTTTAATGTTTATTATAGCTACTCAAATACACACTTATTTTAAACATTTTTAAAATGCTAAAATACAATCTTTGTTATTCAAATGGTTTTACTGACTTTTGCATTTGTTCCATAGCTGCCCCCAGCATGTTTACATGGAGAAATGCATCTGCAACCAAGGACAGGTTTGTACTACCTGGGACTCGTGTTCATGTGTGACCGCCGTATTTTGATCATTTTTAATTCTGTAACTTTTGTATCATTCTGCTTCAGGTGTGGTGGGATGACTTTCAGCAAATCACTGAATGGTAGTTTTGAGAGCACACAGCTTGTTAGAAACGCAAAGGTAGATATTTTATTTTTCTCATTTATATTTTTATTTTATTGAAGTAATATAGTGTGTCAAAAATACAAATTGACACGTACGGTTTTTTTTTTTGACTTTGCAGAAGGAGGCAACAGAATTGGACCTCTCCACAGAAGTAGCAACTCGACTCCATCTAGTGGACAAAGACACTACTGCTGTCCGTTTGCCTGACGCACATCCTTCTCACTCAGCATTTACCAGGCACAGTGATGAAGACATACCAAAGCTGACTAAAGTGAGAAAATTACTATTTAAGAATAAATCTCTCAACGATAAAAAAAAACCATCTTTAGTTTAATTTTGTTTGTGTCTCACTTTAATGCAGGAAATGGCTGCGGAGGTGTCTGCTGCTTTGTCACAGAGTGACCCCAACCTTGTTCTTAGTGCTGCTTTCAAACTTCGCATCACACAGAGAGACCTGGCCACTCTGCAGGAGGGTGGCTGGCTCAACGACGAGGTGAGTTTCTGTAAGGAGGTTATGGGGGGGAAAAAACAAATAGCTGGGAATTCAACAAATTTTTTTTATTTTATTTTTTTATTTTGTGCTGTGACATTATTTAAAAACATCATTAAAGAAGCAAACCAACTGGATAAAGCATGCTAAAATGACTGGTTTTAGAGAACTTCACCAATTATCCAGTGGCTGTTCAGAGGGATACAAATAGAAATTATGTGAAGCAGACAAATAGGATTACAGCAGGTTAGGGTGGTAAAGGATAAAGAATACTTAGCTGAGTGCGACATCCCCTGATAGTAACTAATGTCTATTGTTTTATGTCTTCTTTTAAGGTGATAAACTTCTACCTGTCCCTTATCATGGAGCAGTGCTCGAAAGAATCAGGAGCGTTTAAAGTTTACTCGTTCAGTACATTCTTCTTCCCCAAACTGCGGGGCGGAGGAGGAGGACAAACTGGGGGACACGCTGCTGTGAAACGTTGGACCAAAACTGTCGACCTCTTTCTCTACGATCTCATCCTCGTCCCTCTGCACCTCGGTGTCCACTGGGCCATGGCTGTAAGTCTGAGCTGTAATGGCTACCATTGATTTAACAGTTCATAAATTATCACCTATACTCTGTTTCATTAACAGCTCAGCCGTCGTTTTTTTTTTAAAGAGCATTTTACATGACAGTTTTTTTTGTGGAGCAGCAGGGAATGTTACACAGGGGTGGAATGTTTTTCGTCACTCCAGGTTATTGATGTGAAATCAAAGACGGTCAAGTCGTATGACTCGATGGGCCAGAGACACGATGACATCTGTGGTCTGCTACTGTGAGTCCTAGATATGAATCAATTTCAAATGTTTTTTTCCTCCATTTTAAGCAACTGAATGTCCCTCTGCCTGTTTCAGACTCTATTTAAAAGAGGAACATAAAACAAAGAAGGGCCGGGATCTGGACAGTGGCAAATGGACCATTGGAAGTTTGAGGGCCACTGTAAGATATACTGTATTTAACAATGTCAAACTTGATCCTTTTTAACCACCAAACAATGTGGAGCTAAGATTAATTTTACCTTTCAGGAGATTCCCCAGCAGAAAAATGGCAGCGACTGTGGTGTATTTTCTTGTAAATACGCTCAATACATAGCTAAAGGACGGCCTTTCACCTTTAAACAGGTATCTACAGCCTGTCCAACTCGTATGTTTTTTTAGCATCCTCATTGGTTTTATCATTATCAAAGCCTCCAATGTCTTCATCTTCTTCTTTCATTTCAGTGCCACATGCCTCTCTTCAGGAAGTTAATGATTTGGGAAATTCTCAATCAGAAGCTGCTGTAGAAGATTAACAGTATCCTGTACTTCATTTGCCCAACAACAGAGACTTTCCTGATGGGCTCGATCTGTGTACAGCTAAAGAAAAATCTAAAGGAAGAAATGGGCCAAAGAAATGGACAGAACTCTAATTCCTGCTCATCTGTTCTGGCCTGAAAGAATTAAAGATTAGTCTTAAGAGTTGTCCCTTTTTTCCTTTTAGGGAAATGATAATATAATGTAATCTCTGAGTTGTAATTGGAGAAATTATTAAATTAACAGGTTGTTAGAATTGTATATTTTATACTAGCTTTGACACTACTGACTGAATGGATTTAAGTGATTTAATTTGGAGGGTTTTGTTCCTTTTTTTTCTTTTTTTCTTTTTTTTTGGAAGTTCTGCCTAAAGTGCCTTCGGTGCAGTAGAGAAAACTTCGGTTGTTGGTACATTTCTGTGAATTGTGGACAATTCCAAGTGGGTTTTGTTGGACATGGACGTAACATTTACGACTTGGATAGTTCCAAGCGGTCATGTGGAGGTTTTGTTATATTTCATTTCTTCTCTGTTGTATGGTAAAGAGTAAACACAATCTCTGAGGAAAGACTGAAATACTTCCTGTTCATACAAATGCATGGATGAGTGCCTGAGATTTGTAAGATTTGCTATTATTTATGGAAATGACTGTGAATGTTTATGAAGATTATTTGTTTTCCCTTCATCAGATTAGGAGTTAACTGCAGATATGTTGAAGTCGCTGTCATGTTTGTGAATTTCAATGATCATAATGTAAAAAGCTACTTAGGGCTTTTACACCAGTTAAGTACATGCTATACTACATAAAAAAGTCACTGTACACACATGCATGCTAGAGGTCAAACGTGATACTTTCTTTTGAACTTCTGTAATAAAGTATTTTTTTAAATGTAGTGTGCTGCTGAAGTAATAAATTGACACTTTAATTTCACAGTGTAACATCGTTTTACTAATCAAATAATGAGGGATTACAAATCTAGGAAATGTATTTTATTATCAAAAAGTGCAGCTTGTACTCAATTTGCAGAAAAAAAACGCAGGCCATAAAACGTTGAAAGAGCCGTTTATTAAATATCCCCCTTTATTTTGAAACTCAGAACCGGAAATGAACCTAAACATACATTCTATGCACCTAAAACACATATATAACATAAACATAGATATAAAATTATCATTTATCATATGTATAATAATACATTGCTCAAAATATTAGATAAATTGTTTGCACGGACACCGTTTCATCAACGAAAAATAGTCCTCTGGTAATTCTATTTTACTTTCTCAATATTGTTGTTCAAAAACAGATAAACTGAAGAAAAATAATGCATGTTGTTGAAAAATATGTTGATAATAACATAAGATCGATAATTGTAAAACAAAGAAACTCTTTGTATATCCGCCAATCGCACGTCAGTAGAGTTAGAACTTTATTATGAAATCAAAACCAGAGGAAGAAACACACCTTTCCGTCTAGCTGCCCCTCTGGTTTCAGCCAAATCGGTTTAGCGTGTTGAGAATTCATTTGTATCGACTGATAACAGTCGCTATATCCACCACTCTCGCATTCTGTTTTTATATACCCATTTTAAATCGTAAGCATGAGCGACAACGAGAAAGAATATAGGGATCAGGTGAGTAAATATCCGTTCAAAAAGGAAAGTTCGCGAGCTAACGTTCGGTAGCTAACTTAGCCATATCTGCAGTCTCGTACGAGAAAACGAAAAAAATGTCCTGCTACCTTCCAAATTACTTTGCTTGCGAGAATTAAATGTATTATTCGTTTCTAATTGCAAAACATGTTGCCTTTATACGTAGATATTGTATATTTTATATCATACCGTTGTTTGACCTGAAATCAGCGGCCTACTAGGCGCAGCAGCAAATGTGTTGGCCGCATGGTCGTAATGCTCTTTACTTAATCCTATTTTTAGTAGTTACTCAACTGTTGACTGGAACCATATTGGAATAGAATTGTATGGTGTGTTTAAGGTAGATGTTTATTTATTACTTGGTTTGCAACTATTACATTTATGTGGCGTATTTTGTCGATTAATCGATTAGTCCTTTTAGGTGAAAACTAATTGTTATCGGAAACATAAAACTCAATATTTAAAAACCGTTGTAAAAAATGTTTGAACTAGCCAAGAGTAGACCACTGGGTGGGCAGAGAAACAGTTCATATAGTGCTGGCAAATACCTATATATACAAAACGCGAACGTTCTCTATGTACTACTATTAATTGGTCTAATTTTACTTTTAAAAACATTGTTTGAAAACAATCGTACTCCGTCCCTCAGGATAAACCAACTTGAAGCTTATATGCGCTGTTCAAAACCACAATTTAAAATTTTGTTTAAGATTTTATCTTCCAAGTAGACATTCAGGGCAGTCAAGATTGATCGATTAATCGACTCCTGTTTATCAATTTTCAAGATTAAAACAAGCTAAATTACAAAGTTGTGCCCAGATATTCTCTGCTGTTTTTCTAGTCTTTCTAGTGATACTGCTGTTGTTTTGTATCTTGATAAGGTTTTTTTTAACAAAAATCAACATTTATCACCCTTGTTTGTTCTTTGTTAAGGTTAAGGTGAGAAGAAAGAAAAGGCTGAAGACTTTCAGATGTGAAGTTGTTAATGTTTGAAGCTGATGGTGTTGATGCATGCTAATGTATGGGATGCAGAAAAGAAGCAAGAATCAAGATCTATCCCTCCTTCTAGTGTTGTAAAGGCAGATGATAAATGGGGCAAGAGGAGGAAAAAAGAAGTCATGTCAAAACGAAGAAGAAAGAAGAAATGAAGGGTTGATTTGAAGTAATGAAGTTAAAGAAGTTATGAAGTTAAGATCAGAAGTTTTCCCAGGGTATGAGTAATTTCCTAACAATCTGCTTTGTTATTACTTGTTTTCTTTTCTTTTTTCAAAAGCATGCTTTTTTTCCTCTCTGTATCTGACACATCAGTGGTCACTCTCTCCATGCAGTTTATTTTTGTAGGTTTATTTTGTTCCTGCATACACATTTTTTAAATTAGCTAGTTAATTTCATTCCTACTTTTACATTAATTGCACTGTATGACTTTACATTTTCTAATTTCGAATTATATCATGTGAACCCTTTCAAAATATGGTGAATTCCTTCTGAACGAAATTTAGAGGACAGGCAAAGTCGCTTTTTGTCCGCTTTTCTCATTTTTTGTTGTTAAATGTTTGTGTTTGGAGTGTTGCTGACTCTGTTGTCTGGTCTGTGCAGGATTCCAATCATGGCTCAAGGAGCGGCTCCCCACACGCTTCGGGAAAATCCACCAGTCACTCACCAGCCCGGTCCAAAGAGGGCTCACGCCATTCCAAGTCCAGGTCTCATTCACGGTCCAGATCCAAATCTAGGTAAAGGTGGAAAAAACGTTGAAATTCAAAATGCCAAAAGCCCAAGGCTGTTGTGTCCGTGTAATCCGTTTAACTTAATTTCCGTCCTCAGGTCCCACCGAAGCTCACGCCGCCATTACTCACGCTCTCGTTCCCGCTCCCACCGCAGACGCTCCAGGAGCCATTCCAATAGCCAGGAGTACCGTCGTCGCAGGAGCCACAGCCATTCGCCGATGTCTAACCGACGCAGGCATGTCGGCAACAGGGTGTGTGAAAACAAAAATTCTGAGGTGGTTTGAATTCAATAACAGTTTTTTTTCATAATTTTGAGTATTGAGTGATGGATAAAGAGTTGTAGTTCTTGTAAATTTTTTAAATGATACAAAGAATTTGTGGTATAATTGGATTAAATTACATTTCTTTCATTGTTTAATTCCAGGCTAACCCAGACCCTAACACTTGTCTGGGTGTGTTTGGCCTGAGCCTCTACACCACAGAGCGGGACCTGAGGGATGTCTTCTCTAAATATGGGCCTTTGGCTGAGGTCAACATCGTCTATGACCAGCAGTCACGCCGCTCAAGAGGCTTTGCCTTTGTTTACTTTGAAAACAGCGAGGACTCCAGAGAGGTAGGAAGGACCAAATACAAATCCCCGCCTCTGGAAAAGAAGGGGCAGAATGACTTTTAATGCATGTCAAAAATGATGCACATGCACCACCTGTTGTGAAAACTCAATGCCCCAAAATAAAGTCCTTCGGAACTTAAAAGTCATAGACACTGTTGTGATGTTTCAGGCTAAAGAATGTGCTAATGGAATGGAGCTCGGCGGACGCAGGATCAGAGTGGATTACTCCATCACTAAACGAGCCCACACCCCCACCCCTGGGATCTACATGGGACGCCCCACACAGTGAGTTGACCTTTATTTTTATCACAGATTTGTGTCCCCTACATTTAGATTCACCATAAAACTTTACCCTTCCGAATTTTAGCAGCGGCGGTTCCTCACGTCGCTACTCCAGGGACAGTGACCGTGGCTACGAGAGAGGTTACGACAGAGGCTATGACAGAGGTTACGATCGGGACTACGACCGCTATGACGATCGAGAATACCGATCCTACAGGTGGGGATTTTCCGCTATGACTACTGTGGTTTTTTTTTTATGTGATTTTCTTGAAACTGTGACGCTACGTTCAGCTGCTGACTAAGCGTCACACCTGTGTGACCTGGTTTTTATTTCCTGTGTACAGGCGCAGATCTCCATCTCCTTACTATAGCCGGGGTTACCGCTCTAGATCCAGATCCCGGTCCTACTCACCACGTATGACCTCTTTTTTTAAATGTCATTCATTATCACTGTTTTAAACTCACATTTTTAGTGAGATTTTCAGTGACATAATTGGTTAATTTTTATTTTTCTATGTTCTATAGGTCACTACTGAAGAGAGAAGACTCGTGATGAATTCACTGCTATTGTTGGGTTCCTTGTTTTTTGTATTTTTATGACCATATTGTGCGTGTGTGATATGAACACTTTTTTTTATGTAGAAATGATTTGTCTGAAAGCTTTGTCAGGATACAATTATGAGATTTCATGTGCACCAGTTGTAAAATTGCCTAAAAGTAAAGTAAAAACTTTTCTGACCCTGCTGGCCTTTGAACAAATATGGAGGACGGCCAGATAATTTAGGTTGAGACCTTTTTTATAAAATAAGGATTTTTCTGTGGAAGTTACCATACAAATTGTCATTTTGGTGTTTAGTTGATTTCT